AACGGAGGGGTATATCCCAGATTCAAAACATAGATTAATCAAATCAGTTAATTGTTCTGCTATATCCTCGACTATAATTTTCACATGCTCATTTCTAAACCGTCAAATTCTGGGATTTTGAGATTTTTCAGCGACATAATTGTAGTGTATACTTCAGGTGGTTCAACTCTGTGTAAAATAAACGAAATTAGCGATCTTTTTGGAACTTGTGTTAAGGGTATATCTCTTGGCAACTCATTAGCTAAATCTTCACCTATATTGGAAAGAATGTTAAAAATTCATTGCAGACTTTTTGGGTATCCTTCATACACATTCTCTCGACTCTGTTTTTAATTCAGTAATAGATTGTTTATATTGACTATCTGTATTTTAGTAATCTCGTTAATAGTAGACCAGAGTCTTCTGCTGTCATTTTTACTATTATCTAATTTTTGTAAAAAGTGCGCTCTTTTTGTCTCCCTGGTAAGCTCTATGAATGTATTCTGATATTAGTTTGTAAAAGCTATGCTTCCCATTTGACGATTTTATTAGTCCCTTAGTAATCCGGGAGCTTCTGCCTCGCTGTTTGCGTATAATTTTTACTTTGTTGGTACGGATGTCTATCAATCTTTTAATTTTTTGTAAGAATATGTCCGTAGCTTCATCTGCATCGTTACTAGCATATAATTTTTCCCATTTTTCTTGTCTTGTGTTGGACATTAATTTTAAATTATCAGTAAGTAAACAATAATTTTCTTGGCATTCGTTACTTTTATGAGGGGTAGGAAGGGAAGGTGTATAATTAAACAATGATCAATACATGTATTACTGATGGTTCTTGTTGACTGATTAATATAAGATTAAAATCCGTTGTTGGCTAGCATGATTACGTACTCGATCGAAATTTGATTGTCTTCTAAAATGTTTCTATTACTATCACCTAAGAAAATATATTATATTTAGCTCTATATTGATTTTGAGGCAATGGGTTAATATTATTTATAAATTCTCGAGGTTCTATACACGATTGTCGATACACTGTAGTGATTTGAATTTCGTTTTGAGTTATCTGAACAAAAATGTTTAAAGCTTTAATTTCATTAGTGAAATAAAATGTATCATGACTACAATGTAGATTATCTCTTACATAAGCTATCATTCCATCGTTTTCATTATAAGCACCACAGTTGCACAGTATATGGTAGACGTGTGTGTTGAATAAAGATGTATCGAGCACTTGTCATGTTTCTGTTAGAACTATTATGTCAAATTACATTGAACTCTGTTGAGAAGTATTTCGAAATAATCTACATTATGTCTTATGCTTCTAATATTCATATGGTAAATTTTCAACGTTAAATTAAAATTTTGTGTATGTGAGTTAGGCTCATCAATGTCTTGAGCTAGATGAAACTAGAATTTTAGAATAACATTCTTAAGTTACTGTTCATGAAAATATTTGTACGATGGACAACTTTTGTCCGAAGGCAAGTGTTTAATATTATAATTTTAGTGATATCTCTCATTACTATATTTACAGTTGCAACATTCTACTGATTCATGCTTACCTTATACTTCCCGATGTTTAATGGGACAGGTTTCACATTTTCTTGATTCGGTAGTTTTTCTCCGAGTGGTTAGAGCGGAAGTAACTTTTTCAATTTCCTATGACTAGCTTCATTTACTTTTATCTAAATTCCACATTTTCTGGTAGTTTTTACAGTTTCTATCTGTATATTTAATTATGAAAGCTTGATTTTTTCGCTTAAGTCCCTTTTGGTGTTATCGCAGGAGGATTGTTTATCTTTTGGTGTTACTGTAAGGCATTTTACTGTTTTCTTTTTAGTAACCGGTACACCTTGCTCTAGAATTCGAGCATGTTACTTTTCTTTATGACGAATAAGATTGATTAATATAAGCTATTTTTTCTTGATAGTACCGGTCCAATATTTTTTATTGAAAATTGTCATGAAATGACGATTTTTAAGTGAAAACCTTACTTAACGTTAATTCTGATTAAATAAACAGACAAATTGCCGATTCAAAAGAAGGTAGTTAAAATTGTATTTTTGGCTCAGCATATAGCCCGGTCAGTTATTTCGAATGTCTCTTATCCAGGGGACCTCATGGAAATCGAACCGAGTTCCTGGGAAAATTGCAAGATGACCAATTATTTGGTAAGAGTATCGAAAAAGGCAAAGCTAGAAATGTACCCGAACAGCCACTCCTTGATAATTTATGCGTTAGGTTACACTAATAATAAATAAACAGCCATAAAGTGAGCAGTAGAAACAAATACCTAGATTCGGGGATACCTACACCGAGCTAATCTCTGTACATTAATCTAACTGACTTTCGACAGGTACTACTTTCAGGCTGTGTAAAAGCTCACCTTCATAAATTGTCAGTGACGTCTTCCTTACTTTACGCCATCAGGTCCACACAGTCACATCGAAGAAGGCCGAGGATGCGGCGGCGGTACTTTTTTAGGATGGAATGAAGAAGTGGACCGGAACCATAAAAATCTCAAAGACAACGGTAGCACATTAAAAGTTTACATTGAGTGATCGAGTCGCATGGGCGGTACTAATGTATTTTTGAACTTCTTGGAAGATTTATATTTATTGACATATTTGCATAATCAACAGATCAACCAACTAATGGAAAATAACAGAAAAATTCACAACGCAAGGGAAGTGCTACAGTGAGGCCCAGAAGGGTTTAAGCTTCGGTGATCATTAGCACCGAACTTCCTATCCTTTTTTCATTTTATAATTTGTGAGAATAACATCCTAGTCTCGGTCTATACGCGAAAAAGAACAGAAGGTTCTATGAACCATTTTTAAAAGAATGGCCTGTCAATCAGCAAGACCAAGGGATATTCTCAAAGCAAACAGCAATGACGTTATAAATTGATGATTGCTAAAAAGCATCAGACCACGTTGTATGCGGGTGATCATGGTTAGAGTCACAGAAAATATTCCATTGAGTCAAAGACAAGCATTTTAAATGGCATCCAAAACTCTTTGTTAAATATAAGTTTCCCATTTGTATGCAGCTTTTGAATTCAAGTTATTTATGAAGTAATTTTCACAGATATCAAAAAGTGAATACCACTTTTCCACTGTCGTCCGCAACGAAATCTCACTTAGTGGTCTTCGGCACGACGTTGTGTTTTATGGGAATCATTGTCAAATTACTTATTACGTAGAACACATCATAATACACTTGAGTACGGCTCTGAATCTCTCAAAATCCCTATATTGAGAAACAAAACAGCCAATATATCATTACATGTATAATTTTAAAATAAAAATATTTCAAGTAGCTTGAAATAGGGAAATGCAAATGGCCCGAGCCTCAAAACCTCTTGTGAATGGCATTTAAAATAATTCCTCACCAAAACAACTAAATATTGTTTGAAGATACTGACAATTTAGTATCCATATATATTCACGTATTTGGAAAAATCATCACAACTCAAACAGTATCTACAGGTTGCATCTAGATACACTACGACGCTGGGTTTATACTCCTAACTCTGCTGTGAACAAAGTGATTATTATTTAAGGTCAACGCGCATACCATGTAAGAGTCCTTAAAAATAAAGTAATAATCGTTACAACATATTGATATGTCTGCAAATGCAAGTTTTTTCTGGGTTTCTAGAAATCGAAATATAACACGAGGTACGACCATGCTTCTATACGAACTGCACTGTCAAACATATAAAAACGTCACAGATTTTATGATAGTTCGGGAACGTTTTGAAAGGAACTCTCATGGCTCTCTGTTTTATTTCCTCATAAACTTTATGTTTAAAAATCATAAATAATGTTATCTCGCGGCCATCTCTGATAGCGATTGCAATCTTTAAATGCATAAAGTTTGCAATTTTCTTTGACTATATAAAAAGTCGCTGGATTTATAACTCTATTGGCTGTATCCCAAATACCTACATCCGTTTATTCTTGCTCCAGACTTGATGCTTATCCAATTTCTCTCTGAAAGACCTTACGAACCTAAATTTGATTCAATAGAACCTTACATATCATTAAGCAGACTTTAACAAATGACAGAGGGTGATAGCACAAATAATACACGGATCCCAAAATGTTGTTAATTTATAAGACAAGTTGCATACTTCTTAATTGAAGGCAGAGTGCTCGTGATTTCAGAAAATCATAAATTGAGGAGCAGGCTTGCAAAATGCATTTTGTCCAAATTTTCAATATTTGAGATAGAGGTGCCGCTGCCTCCTATGATGAAATACTAACTCTTTATGAATATTTGAACAGTTGACATCTGATCTGTGCTCCGTAAATCTATAGGATTTTATAGTGAATTTAGTTAATTTTTCGTTTCGATTTCTACGTAGACATTAACAGCTAGCATCAGACTGTAAGTACTGCATTACAGAATCCTGAAATAATTTGTTTTCAACATAAAGTACGTGCATAAACAAATCGCTACAAACTAGAACCATCCGTTTGCTACGAAATTCCAAGGAATTCCACGTCTGTTCACAGTCGGGGACAGGTCCGTACTGGAAATGGTGCAAGGAAGGTTTGAGTCAGAAGAATACGTATACTAACAATATGGAAGGCGTTAATATTCCTACAGAAACTCAAAACAGCAACTCACCACTAAATTACTCCCGAGCTCTCAACCGCCAGATATCCAAATACCCTAACAAGGAGCAGGCTATAATATTTAATACAATAGATGGAGCCCGAATACAAGATTATATCATCGAATTAGGTCCTCTAGTTGAGCCAAAAAATATCATATTCTGTTCTAGAGTAGCAAATAACAGAATATGTGTTTACTTATCCAGCAAAAACGCAGTCGATGCATTTTTGGACAACCATGGGAAAATCGTTGTTCATGGTGAAATTATTAAGGCGAGGAGATTAGTCACACCATCGGATCGTTTGGTCATATCAAATGTGTCCCCTACTATTCCACACACAATTATTCAAAACTGCTTGGAGCAGTTAGGTCTCCAGTTACAATCTCCCATGTCATTCCTAAGGATTGGGGCCACTATTCCAGAGTATAGTCATATACTCAGCTTCAGACGTCAAGTATACATAGCTCCCACCGAAAGTACCATACCAGAATCCTTGGTGATTAGTCATGGAGGGTTGTCATATCGCATATTCTTATCATTGGACAGCCAAAAATGTTTCAAGTGCAACCAATCAGGACACATAGCCAACAATTGCAGATCTACATCCCAACCATCGACCTCAAACATGGATGATACCGTCCTTCCCTCATCCTCAGTAAAACCCAATAATAACATGTCTAGCAGTATTCAACTGGAACCCACTATCACACAGGCAGCCGAAGTTCGACAGACACAACTGCCAATCTTAACTGAAGAATCTCCTAACAGACAGACCATATCCACTCCACAACCAATATTGAGTCAAAGCAAAGAACTTAACATAGAAATGCCACCTACTCCATCCGTAGCAACCACCGACGATGCCAGCAACACAGGCAAAAGAAGTTTTTCAACAATTGTTACCCCAACATCAGATGTTGAAACCTCATCAACTCCAACCTCCGGACCGACCTTTATAAAGCCAGCTAAAGCATCAGTGAAAAAACCAAAAATAGACTCCCAGCAAGCAGTTATTTCAGATCAAGCCTACGAACCAGCCAAACGTTTTATAGACACAAACCAAGACCTTTTAGTATTAAATTCTATCCAGATGAAAAGTCTCTTAGAAAATGTGCACGGAACCCAGAACGTTATATCAGTAGTAAACGAATACACCGTAGATATAAAAAGCTTGATTGAAACAATACTGCTCATATACCCTCATTTATCGGACCGAGCCCTGAAGAACAGGTTAACCAGGTTGCGCAAAAAACTAGAACGGCACATCGAAAATGACAATATCGACAGCGAAACCTCTTCTGTAGATTCTAGTTTCTTTTAATAATTTACAATGGCGTTCAAATCCATATTGCAGTGGAATCTAAATGGTTACTACCCACGCTTAAACATGCTACGTAAACTTATATCTGACTTTGCACCTGATATCATATGTCTTCAGGAAACTCACTTCCATGAATCTAAAACAAATTCACCTAAAGGATATAATGGATTTTTCAAAAATCGCAATAGTGCAACAGCCAGTGGAGGAGTAGCTATTTACGTAAGTTGCGACACTCCTACTAACCCACTTAATCTTACCACCAATCTGGAAGCGATTGCAGTAACTTTGGATGCTCCTGAAAAGCTAACTATCTGTAACGTATACATTCCTCCGAATTACCACATAGATGACCAAGAACTAGAATCACTTTTGCAACGAATACCTTCCCCAAGGATAGTTCTAGGTGACTTCAATGCACATAACTACACATGGGGCTCATTCAAAAATGACTCAAGGGGAAACCTAGTAAACGACCTACTAGATTCATTTGGCTTAGCTTTACTGAATGACGGCAATAGTACCAGATTTGATGCTGCTACGGGCAGATTCTCCGCTATCGATCTTAGCATATGTTCTCCCAGGCTCCTTAGCCACCTACAATGGAATACACAAGAAGACTTATATGGAAGTGACCATTTTCCAATAGTTATTACTAACTCAAAGTTCTGCAATAACAATGAGACAATGCCACCCCTTAAATGGAGATTGCAAAATGCAGACTGGAACCAATTTGCGACTCATATAGAAAATAATCTAAGACAAGAAATATTCCCCGAGGATGACATTAATTCCATAATTGAACAATTCAGCAAGGTCATCACAGATGCCGCACATCGCAGTATGGGGAAAACTAACCACATCAGGAAAAGAAATCCAGTCCCTTGGTGGAACAATGAATGCGAAGCAGCACTTCAATCCAGTAAACGAGCTATCAACAGACACAAGAGGCATAAAAATATCAACACGTTGATGGAGTTACGCAGCAGACAGGCTTATTTGAAGCTCACAACAAGAAAAAGCCAAAAATTATCATGGCAATCATACGTCAGTAGCATTACTAGCGATACACCCATTTCAAAGGTGTGGAAAAAAGTGAAAAACATATCCGGGGGCAAGACTTACTCAGCTATAAAATGTCTGAAAGAGGGAAACCGAAATGTTACAGGTAGCCAACAAATCTCAGAAGTATTGTCTAAAACGTACTATTCCCATTATAGTGTCGAGAACTATCCGGCCGGATTTCTAAGCTATAAGGCAATTTCAGAATCAAAACAAATTATAATAGAAGATGACAGTGAACCAATTAATACGCCCATATCAGAATCTGAATTTACAGAAGCACTAAACGATCTCAAAGATACGGCCGCCGGTCCCGATGACATACCAGCCATATTTTTGAAACATCTTCCGTTGTCTGCTAGGAAACTTTTACTAGATTTATTCAATAATATTTGGACCAACCATGTATTCCCTGAGGTCTGGAGACAAGCCATAACTATTCCCGTGCTCAAGCCTAACAAATCTCCACAACTCCCTGAATCATATAGACCGATATCTTTAACCTGTTGTATGTGTAAGCTGCTTGAAAAGATAGTAAATCGAAGACTGTTATGGAGCTTAGAACACAGGAACCTGCTAATATCTGAACAAGCTGGATTCAGATCAAACAGAAGCACCACAGACAACATAATAGATTTGGAAACCCATATACACGAAGCCTTCTCGGACAGCCAACACTGGTGTAGCAATCTATTTCGACATTAATAAAGCATTCGATACTACCTGGAAATACAATATCATCTCGAAACTTCATAAATGGGGGTACAATGGTAACATATTATCCTTTGTCTCTAACTTCCTACAAAACAGAATCTTTCAAGTACGGTCAAATGGAGTGCTATCAGAACCAAAACAGCAAACGAACGGATTACCTCAAGGCTCTGTTATTAGTCCAACCCTTTTCCTAATAGCAATCAATGATGTGTTACAAGATATTGAGAAACCTTTGCAAGCACGTCTGTACGCAGATGATATGATTGTTTATGTCAGAGGCAAGAACTTAACAACAAATATAACACTACTGCAAAAGTATCTTGACAAGCTTGATTACTGGTCCAATCAAACAGGATTTGTGTTTTCCCCAGAGAAAACCAAATGCATTATATTCTCCAGAAAACCGATTCACGAAGAACCCCCATTGAAGTTATGCAAGAAATCCTTGGAATATACCAGTGAAATCAAATTTCTTGGGGTAACCTTCGATAACAGATTAAACTGGAAGAAACACATCGCAAATGTCATTAAATCATGCCAGGCAGGAATGAATATGTTAAGATATTTATCTAATAGACATTGGGGCGCAGAAGGTAAATTGCTACTTATGATTTATAGAGCATTAATAAGATCAAAATGGATTACGGATGTGTTGCTTACAACTCAGCTAAGCCCTCAACTCTAAAACCCCTAGATGTTTTACACAACACCGCCTTGCGATTGATCCTGGGAGCATACAGAACAACTCCAGTCGATAGCCTGTACTGCGAATCGGGAGAAGCGCCACTACATACCAGACGTCAGATACTAAGTCTTTCCTACTTCAACAAGAAAATCAGCAATCTTAATATGTCGGCTCAAAAATATCTATCCACTAAAAGAAATTATAGAGATACGCTGTGGGGTACCCCTTTCCAATAGAATTAAAATTTACCTAAGAAAACTCAACATACAAAATCCACCATCCACACTTCCCATCTTCCCAGTAACTATTCCACCATGGACACTATACAAGCCAGCCAGTATCACAACTCTTACAAAATTCGACAAAACCAATACACCAAACGAAGTAGTAAATCAACATTTCCGAAGTATTATTGGAGAATTTACAGAAGCTCAACAATTATACACAGATGCCTCGAAGATTGGACAAAACATAGGTGCCGCTGTAGTTACTCCTTCAGGTCCAATGAAATTCAAGCTACCCGAAACAGCCTCAATACTAACTGGCGAATTGTATGCAATTAGAGAAGCTATGCAATACATCAAACTAAGCTCCAGTCGGAAGTGGGTCATCATTACCGACTCCCTTAACTCAGTTACACTGATCACAAAAATATATAACAATAATCCACTGGTCAATATTATAAAAATGGAAATACATAGCCTTGCACTCCAAAATAAAGAAGTAACCATAATATGGGTACCATCACACAAAAATATACAGGGCAACCAAATAGCTGACGAGAACGCAAAAATGGCTGCGAACATGGACACAGTGACAAACAAGAAAGTTCCTACATCAGATGTGAAACTATTTTACCAAAATCGAACCATTGATTACTGGAACAATGCATGGCAAAATAAATCAGCCAAACTATTGAAGGTAAAACACCATCTAAGTCCATGGCAGACCATCACCTCCAATAGAAGGCAGCAGACAATCTTAAGCCGTCTTCGTCTGGGCCACACCAGATTAACACATGAATACCTAATCATGCAGCAACCGGAACCCTATTGTGTGTTTTGTGACGTGACTTTAACTGTTGAACATATTTTAGTGGAGTGCCCAATGTTAGAACATTACAGAATATCATGTAACCTTGATAAAGAACTATCAGTTATACTAGGACCAAGTAGCAATCTCACAAACCTCCTGAAATTTCTACAAAAATGCAAATATCTAAGTAAACTGTAATTTATTAAATCCGCCGCTAATGGCCAATTGGGTCGATGCGGCTTCTGTATTTACAAATAAAAAAAAAAAAAAAGAACAGTTGACATGCATTTCGTCTCCGAGTTATTAGGGGGGAAATAATACCTAGACAAACAAACTGATTTAAGTCCACTCAGTTTTTTTATTAATGGATGGAACATGAAGCTGGTAGGGGAGCAACATAAATATCTTCAGCCCTGCTTAATTTTTTGAAAAAGACCAATTTTGCACTGAATATATACGCTCTTCGGCTCTTCTCTGATTGATGCGGGAACAAAATAAAAGTAGTTTTACCATCCACATGGTAATGTTATGGTTATACATCTTTTCTCCAGCAACGATTAAAAAAATAGAAGTTATCTTCCCAGTGCGAGGACACTCTTATCTTCCGGCAGATAGAACTTTTGGGAGGGTGGAAAAGACACGCGGTCATAAAAATACCTGAAAAATACTGTGAACTTCAGAAACAAGAAGGTGAAATCAGAAAACTTGGAACTGGTTGGTCACTAGTGAATATAAAACAAGCTTCGGTCTATTTGAAAAAAGTCCTAGCAATTAGCTCGAGTAACAGAATAATCATCAAACGAGGAAAGCCCTCAGGCATTATGTCGATTGGTATGAAACAGAGCCGGAGCTGAAATGGATGACTGAAATACTTGAGAATCTGTGGCAAACTGTAATGATAAAGATAAAGAACACGAAAATGACGAAGAAGTTTGTGGATGCTGTGAGAATGATGATAGCGAATTTATTTAAAAACAAAATCGTTTACTACTAGTATTATTATAATACTTACAAATTTTGTTTTGTTTCATGATGATGTTTCTATATAAACCTTTTTTTTAAATAAAACA